CTGAGCTTTAAAGTGGATAAAAACAGAGGGAAAGATGGAATAAGAGGGGGTGCCCCTGGTTAATGGGGACTGGCGTGCACTGGGATTGGTTGCTTAAATAACAACCAGGAGTGAATTTGTTCATCAGCCTACTCCTTTATGCTGATATTTTCTTATTTTATTCTCCAATCTATCACAGCAATTATGCATCACTGAACACCTGGACACTAAACTATAAAGCTTTCTTTGATAGTTTCTAGCAGACTCAAACTTGTACTGTTGGCCTGTTTTACCTTTTACAAAGGATTTGGAGTCATGTAACCAAATTTTGCTGGGGATTTCAGCATCTGAGCACCTCCTAAATCCCATCCCTCCTGCCCAGCTGGAAGAGCCCCGGGCTCAGTGCTCTGACCCTCTTGTACTGGTGGGAAAATTGCTGTTCTTTCTTCTTCTGAGTTCCTTCACCATTTGCCTTTTTGATTTTTTGAAATTTATTGCTTCAGTATGAGAAGCATTTAATTAACTCAGTGAAGGAGGTTCCAAGGAGATTTAGCATTTATTAATGTCTACTTCTTTGCTCGATTTTGCTGTGTTTAGATCCATAGCAGTGCTGGCCACTAAAATTTTCCTTGGGACCATCAAGTTCCCCTGGAGCTGATGTGTAAACTCTCCATTCCCTGTGGAAACCCTGAACAGACATTCCAGTTTGCAGAGCAAAGACAGCTTTCCACTTAGGACAGTGCCTGGCCTGCAGGGAAATCAGGAAGGTGGTTAAAAATCAGAGAGTTTCAGTCTTGTGAGAAATTTCCTCATCTTTGTATTTGCATTTATTTTGCATCAGGATGCAAATAAATATTTCCAATATTTCTAATCAGAATTATGTTTTAAAATACATTTTTTGGTATTTTTCTGTTTGTTTTCTGTCTGTGCTTTTAAATTTTAAATTAATGATGTTTCTTCCTTTTTTTGAGAATACAGAAGTATTAGATAGCTCAGCTTGTCTTTAAAATAGATTATTTGAAATAATTTAGAACAGCTGCTTTTGAGCGATTGAGTCATCTTATTTTTTTAGATTAGTCTCTTGTTTGTTTTGTAATGAAATGCTTTGACACATGGAACAAGAAATTAAGATAAATATTCAGCATACAAACCACAAGACAGGTGTTTTTTCCAGCATCCTTCTTGTTCCAGAGAAGTGCCATATTTCTTCTCCAGACATGTTTTTGTGCTTTCATAAATTACTCCAGAGTCGGAAATTTCCACGGTTTTTCAAAAATTTTTCACTTTCTGATTCCCTGCAGTTTCTCTCGCTTCAGAAAATTGAGTTTAAATCAGTTGAGAAGACTGGAAACTCTTGGTGCCTTCCTTTTAACCCACTATAATTTGGTGGAGCACACATGGAAATGAACAGAGAAGCGATACATTGATTTCTGTAGGAGAAATCCTCCCACGCAGGGCCATGGGTACACACAAACCCAGGAGTGTGGCACTTCTGAGTTGCTCCAGAGGGGAAATCCCAGTGCCCAGCCCCTGGAGCTGCTGCTGGCTGGGAGGAGGGTGGCAGAGCAGGGATGTGTGCCAGGCCAGCCCCAGGACAAGCTGCTGGCAGGGCCAGCTGTGGCTGCAGCTGGAGTGGCAGCTGCTGTCACTGTGCCTGCAGCTCCAGAGAGGAATGAGGCTGAGACAGAGCTCTCAGCTGTTGGTCCACACTCAGGGCAGCACTCAGAGCTAAAAAGCAGCAGGTAGCTCGCTTGGAAGAGAAAAATGATTGGTTGTTTGTTTGTTTTTTGCTGAGCTGGAAGAGTTTGCCTTCTTTTCCAAGTGGACAGCTCTGTTTCCAGGGCTGCTTCCTCTGCTTCACCTGGGGTTTGGCTGCTTAAGCAGCAGCACTCAGCAATTACAGAAATCCACAGACTTCTCAGCCACACAAATGTTTGTGTAGAGGAGTGTAGAATCCCTGGTTTTACAAAAAGCAGCCTGGAGAACATCAGGTCCCCGTGGTGGTGATGAGAGTCCTCCCAGAGATGGGCACACAGCCAGGGGCTTTCCTGGCAGTGTCTGTGTGTCCTTCAGCCCAGGGGCTCTCCTGGCAGTGTCTGTGTGTCCTTCAGCCCAGGGGCTCTCCTGGCAGTGTCTGTGTGTCCTTTAGCCCAGGGGCTCTCCTGGCAGTGTCTGTGTGTCCTTTAGCCCAGGGGCTCTCCTGGCAGGGGCTCTGTGCCCTTTCCTGCCCACTCCAGTCACTCAGAGCCCTTCTGGAGGGAGGGAAGCAGAGAAGAGCTCAACCCTGATGAGAGCAAGAATTGGTTGCTCTTTCGGCACTATTTGCACTTATCAACCCCTAAATATTTCTGCTGCTGGACTGGGTGACCCTGGACACATGCACAGCTTTGCACTGTTATGTTTCTGTTCTCTGTGCTGCATCCAGGTACTGTTAATGTGTTAAAGTCAAATGTTCAGTTTTGGGGACAGGGGTGCTCTGAATAACCCCACACCACCTGGTTTAACAAGGTCTGTGCCTACTGGAAAGAGACTCTGCTGCAGAAAAGGTGAACTCACATTTGGCTGTGCCACAAATCTCTCTGCTGGAGTTTATATATCCTGAAAAGAAACTTGGGAAATCCTGAAGTCTGATTTGAGTGAGCAGTTGCTCTGAAAATTGACCCACACTACAATATCAAATTGGGGACATTGTCTCAAGTGCTCTTTCCTCCTTCTTTGCTACTTGTGAGTTGACCCAGGTTGTTTTAAGGTCCCTTGTATTCATTCTCTGCTACAGTCAACAGAAAAATAAAGACTAGGTTGGTTTGTTTGTTGTTTTGTTTTTGGTTTGTTTTTTTTTTTTTTTAAATCAGTGAGTTGCTTTTTTCTTTAGTTGTTTTTTTTTTTTTTTTTTCTTTTTGAAAGCTTTTGTAGCTCTTTTTGCCTTAAGGGGATAGGGGGGTTTTAGATTTTATTTTTTTTAAATAAGGAAAAATAACTGTTTCTGTAATGATTTTAGAACTGCTGAAGGTAGCAGAATACATTTATTTATATGGATGGAGATCAAGGACAAGCACATCTTTCACTGTATTTATAACCTTCAGTATAATGGGCTTGAAAATAAATACCACTGATTTTGCATAGGCCACTGCCTGACCTGGGCATCCTGTGAATATGCTGTTCAGTGCCCCAGGTGTAGGAAGTTCCTTTTCTTCTCCTCCAATTCCTATTTTGCTGATTCCCCTTTGTAGTTTTATTTCTATTTCTCTAGCTCTTGATGTACCAACAGAGCATACAAGATTGCATTGGCTCATTCCTACATAACATTAAATTAAATGCATTTTTCCTTCTGGATTTTAGCTATGGCATGGACAAGGTCATGTCTCTTGATTTAAGTATTTGCTTCTCAATTTAATTCCAATGGTCTTCTTACAAATTCCCTTGCCTTGAAGTGCCTTGATGCGATAAGAACTCTCAAAATACTGTCCCATGCCATGCTGGTTCTTGAGTCCCTGAGGGAAAAGCAGTGGGTGGAGAGATTTTCCTCCTGTTTTTAATTTGTTGTTTGTTTTAAGAACCATTATGCCCAGAGGTCTCTCTTTCTCAGGTGTCTGGCATGTAATAAAAACTTAAACCCAGATTGTAATTCCTGGAAAAATTAGCTGGTTTTCAATGAAATCACCTGCAAGCTGTCTAATTATAATTCCTTTAAGAGCTCTGCTTCTGTACTTTCTTGTTGCTGGTGTAATTCATGCCCTTTCTCTGTTACACTGCCTTATCTTGGACGTCAGCTCTGTCTAAACTCTTCTTCTTTGTCCAAATAACAGGGTTCACATGCTCTCACCCTTCTCTGCTGTCAGTAACATCAGTCTTGGTCTCTTATTTATCCTGTTATTATTAAAGCCTCCCTTTTTAAACAGTGGATATTTATTTTTCCTCAAAATGCAACATTTTCCTCCTGTCATAAAGCAAGTGACTTAAAGATTTTCAAAGGCTCTTTCAGAAAGGCTGGGAATTAGATTCTTGTGGAGACCTTAATAAAAAATTGAAGACCTCATGTATTAACATACATTGATTTATTCATAGTGTTTCATTACAAATAAGTGAGAATCCCATAATATCAAAAAAGGTGAGGAGAGCAGCAGAGCACGGTACATTATATTGACAGCTCTGTTGAAATTGAGCTGCCTTGGGATTGAATTTGGAACTCAGGCAAGGAATTGGCTGGTAAATAAGTCATGAGTTTCCCTTGAAGTGTCTGTACATTAGGAGGGTTGCCGTGGGTGAGCGTGCTGAGCTCAGGCAGGTTTCAAGGTGTGCTGGCACCAGCTCCAGGTGTACTCAGGACATCCTCCAGGTCCGGAGCCCTCCTGGCTTCAGCCAGGTGTAAACCAGACTGCACCACGTGTAAATCTGCACTCTGAGGCTCAGAATGAGGGCAGGGACAGCAGAAGCTGGTTTCCACAGAGAGAAGGGCTTTTGCCTAAAGACGTGGTGAACTTTATTTCATTTAAACATATTATTTCATTTCAGCGTATTCTCTGTAGCACAGGAAAAGGCCTCCAAAGCTTTTGTTTTTGTCTCCAAAGGCTTCCATTGTTTTCAGCTGCCTTTTGAGGAGATGATTTGCCAAAAGGAAACATACCCATGTTTGCACTCAGGGTTTTCATGAGCTGTGGGGGTTGCATGGGTGAATTCTCATGAAAATCCTGCCGGCCGTGCTGTGTGCTCTGGTTTGACAACAGAAGTTCTGAGCTTGGGAACATAAAGCGACTCTTCACATCTTTTGTTGTAAGTGAGCACGTGCTGAGGCTTTAGCTGAGAGAGGAAATTGGTTTTTCCCTAAGTAAAGCCTTGGAAGAATTGTCATGTTGGTTTGACAGCACCCAAACACAAAATGGCTCCTGGGAGATACGGAAACAACCCTGAAATAATTCCTTGTGTTTGCAGTTCAGCCTCGAGAGGTGACAAAGCAGGGGAGCCGGGAGAGGCCGGGTGCAGAAAGCCCCTCATCACCTCCTGTGCTTGTTCTTCATTTGCAGATCACATACAAGGCCGTTGGGTCTCTGGATCCCAGTGCTGACCTGTCCAGCCAAAGAGGGAAAGTCTTCAAGCTGCGGAATGAAACCCATCACCTTTTTGTGGGATTGTACCCAGGCACCACCTACTCCTTCACCATCAAAGCCAGCACAGTCAAGGGCTTTGGGCCACCCATCACCACCCGGATAGCAACCAAGATTTCAGGTACTGAAAGAAGAAGAAAAAAAAAAATAAAAATCTAGGGCTTTATGCTTCAAACTCAAAGCTGGCATTTAAAAATACTTTAAAATACTCAGCTTAATGTCTCTCCAAGTTTCATAGAGCGGAGTTTTGAAACAGCCACAGACTTTTGTTTATTTGGGTTACAATTACAGTGGTCAATTTGTGGGTGTCCTAAGTATCCCTGGATATCTGTGGAGCATTTTAAATGAGAACCATCATTAGTTCCACAAATGAGCTACCCTTATAGTAATTATTGTTAGCATTATCTGCCTGGCTGGGGAAACTCCTTCTGTAATGTGGTTTTTATTTTCAGGATGTACTAAAATGGATGGAATGAAGTAATTGAATTAATAGTGCAAAGAAACTAAAAATAAGGAAGGAAAGCTGTTTTTTCTTGGGTTTTTTAATGGGTAAGAGCAGAGAGAGGGCTTGAGGCATATAAAAATATGAAAGGCACTAAAATAAGGAGGCAATGGCAAACAGAAGGTGTGGGAAAAAAAAGGGGGAACAGGGCAATTATATAAAAAATTGACTGTAGTGGTGATATTGGGCAGATATATGTGGATTTTAACATTTAGTTGATAGCACTAAAATAGATTTTTAAAATAGGCTTTCTAACAGAGAGAAATGCTGTCATTTTCTGGACTATTTTAACCATTTTTTTCAGTAAAGTCAAAATACACATCTGGAACATTCAGGATACTGGTAATGCTTGAAATCATGGCTGGTTATTGTAGAAAAGATTGCACTACAGTATAGATTTTCCACTGCCCTATTTCAAAATCAGTTAATAATAGCAAGTTGAGAGCAGTAAGTGACAGGGTAAATTTTAAGGAAGCAAAGCACATCTCCTCCCTCTGCTCGGGGTTTGAACCCTTCACATTTAGCACTCAAGCCCTGAACCACTTGAAGTAAAAGCCATTAAGTGTCCAAACAGCTCCGTGGGCTGCTGGGGGCTCTGCAGCCCTGCTGTGAAGGGACAGCACAGCATGCACTCCATTCCCTTGTGACCAGAGAAATAAAAAACCACAGCAATGGTTTGGGGGCCTTTTCTCCTCTCATTCACTTTCTTTGCATTTTATCATCCCATGAGTGCTCAAATTGTGTTAGCAGCCTGCATGAGTGCCAACTATATGCATACTGAGCTTGATTTATTGACTTTTTTACCCCCCATCTCCCAAATATCTGGTTGTCAATAGGTGGGTAAGCATTAGGGTTGTCTCTGGCATTAGATTCTCTCATTGCATGGTCAAGTTTCTGATACATTTTCCAAATAATTTGAAAATTACCATTAAATTTGCTCTAAGAGGCAGCCTCAAGGTTATTAGGGAGAAGAAGTATCTTTGCACTGACAGGAATGTCCTTGTAGGCTGTATTTATTTTTTTTCACATGGAAAGACACCTGTGCTGTAGCAATGTGTGTGTATTTGTTTCCATGGGTGCACTAAGTCATGCTGTAGCACCGTCCCCTCTGGCCAGAGCAGGGGCTCAGCAATTCCTGCTGTGCCATCGAGGCCAGCAGGTCAAGGGAGGGGATTTTTCTCCTTTCCTCCACACTCATGAGACCTCACCTGGAGCTCTGCATCCAACTCTGGGCTGCTCAGCACAGGAAGGATATGGAGATCATGGATTGAGTCCAGAGGAGGCCATGGAGATGCTCAGAGGGCTGGAGCCCCTCTGCTCTGAGCCAGGCTGGGAGAGCTGGGGGTGCTCCCCTGGAGGGGAGAAGGCTCTGGGGTGACCTCATTGCAGCCTTCTACAGGAGTACCCAAAGGAGCTCCAGGAGAGATGGAGAGAGACTTTGGACAAGGACCTGGAGTGACAGGACAAGGGAATGGTTTTAACCTGACGGAGGGTAAATTGGATGTTAGGGAGAAATCCTTCCCTGTGAGGGTGCTGAGGCCCTGGCACAGGGTGCCCAGAGCAGCTGTGGCTGCCCCTGGATCCCTGGCAGTGCCCAAGGCCAGGCTGGACAGGGCTTGGAGCAGCCTGGGACAGTGGAAGGTGTCCCTGCCATGGCAGGGGGGGGCTGGATGATCTTTAAGATCCCTTCCAACCCAAACCATTCTGTGCTCTCCAGCTTCTCCAGTGATATCTGGTGTGGAAGACCACTGGGGATGTGTCTCGTTTCAAGGAGTCACTGCTTCCCCTTGATGGAGAGCACCTTATTCCAGAGACATCCTTCTTAAGCAGTTGACATTCACTCTGAATACATTCCCAGCTTATTGACAGGGAAGCCAGCAGCTGAGATGATAATAGCAGCCCCCATTCTTGACAGCTTTCAGGCATTTAGATAAAAATCCTGATTGTAAACAGGATTACAGTGGAAATCACTATGAGAGGATTAAATATGGGATCCCCACAATGCAGCTTGCCCTTGTGAGCTACAGATGAACTATTTGTGTGAATTCTTCTGTTTGTTTTATACTTTAAAGTTATTTCAGCAAAACCTGCATCTTTGGAACAAACTTGGTGCTGCTCTGACCTCATGATCTCGTCAAGTCTTCAGCACTAAAACTTGTCCCAAAGAAATGCCTGCTCCTGGGGAAGGAAGAAGCAATAAGTGAAACATATTTCCTAAGGAAAGTTGTCCTACTTTCATGGAATGGTCCTAAGAGAAGATAACAAAGCAGAAGGAGAAACTATCGTTTGGCTGGGTGGGATTTTATTCAGTGGGTTTCTGTATTGCTGGGGGGAGCAGGGTTGGGGTTGCCATGGCTGGGCACTGCCCGAGGGTGGCACTGGGATCTCTGCAGCTGCCTGGTGAGTCAGCAGCTCTTAAACACCAGGGTAAAATATCCTGGGTTTGGGTGCAAAAATAACCTGCCCAATTTGTGCTCCTCTCTTTTCATCTTTTGTGCTTCCTAGCACACCCTCCAGCTAATCAAGGGGACCAGATTAAGTCTGTGCATTAAACTCTTTTAAGATGTGAGAGGGCAAATCCACTGAGAGGGCAAATCCACTGACCAGAACAGGGAAAAAGGTTCAGGATTCAGGGGTACTTTTAGCTCTGCCACTGATTCACTCATCCTAATAATATGGGTTTTTTATAATGTCTATGCAGTTTCCTTTCCTCACTTTAACAGTGAAGGAATGCTCCCATCTCAAGGCCTTACTAAGTCTTAAAAATTCAAGATGGGATTTTCAGAGCCAGCTTGAAGATTGTCCGATTCCTGTTTCATTGGAATGGAAAAAGAGTGTACAAATATTTAAGCAGTTTTGATCATTCTGGTCATAACACTGGGAAGTATTTTGATATTTCATTTGAGAAATGTTAATATAACGTTGCCATCCCTACCAAAGGCAGTGGCTGGTGCTAATGAAGGCGTTCTTTGTTCTGCTGCAGCTCCGTCCATGCCGGAGTACGACACGGACTCTCCCCTCAATGAGACTGACACCACCATCACCGTCATGCTGAAGCCTGCTCAGTCCCGGGGAGCACCTGTCAGGTGGGTGTTTTGTCTTTTCTCATCACACTTCCCTCCTCTCCTTCCTCCCCAGGCTTCCCTCACTCCTCTCTCATTCTGCTCTGATAATGGAGCTGCCGAAAGCAAGCGCTGACTAAAAGGCCAACTGAGCTGTTGATTCTGCCTTTCACACTCTCCTTTCATGAATGCTTCAGCCTCCTTGCCTCCCGCTGTTAGCCTCCAGGAAGGATTGCTGCTGGCACTGTTGGGGTTATTACCCTCTCAGCATCACTTCAGATGCCTTTGCAGTGCTGGAGCACAGCGGGATGTGGAGCTGGAGACTGAACATCCCCACACGAGGGTGGAGGAGGCTCCAGGTCTCCATCCTGCCCCCTCTTCCATAATGAACAAGACCTGCTGGTAACTATTCTAGGAGTGCCTGCCTTGTCTTTAATGCTTGTGCAGGTATTTGCTCAGTTTCTGGATTTAACACACTTCTCACACTCGTAATCCAGCTGTGCTGCTGGGCTGGCTGTGCAGTGAAGTCCAGAAAAAAAGAAATTTTGATTTAGTGAGGCTTTGCTAGCACAGACAAGCAGATCCTGCTGCAGAGTAGAGGATTTACAGATCACAGAATCATTAAGGTTGGAAAAGAACTCCAAGACCATAGAGTCCAACCTTTTACCACTCACCACCTTATTAACCAGCCCAGAGCACTGAGTGCCATCTGCAGTCATTTCCTGAACTCCTCCAGAGATGGTGACTCCACCACGTCTGTGGGCAGCCCCTTCCAATGCCTGACCACCCTTTCCATGAAGAAATTCCTCCTGATGTCCAACCTGAACCTCCCCTGGCATAGCTTGAGGCTGTTTCTTCTTGTCCTGTCCCTTGTGGGAGCAGAGCCCGACCCCCACCTGTCAGGGAGTTGTGCAGAGGGAGAAGGTTCCCCCTGAGCCTCTTTTTCTCCAGGTTAAACAACTCCAGCTGCTCCTCACGTGACTGAGTCTCCAGTCCCTTCCCCAGCTCCCTTCCCTTCTCTGGACATGCTCCAGCCCCTCAAGGTCTTTCTTGCAGTGAGAGCCCAGAACTGGACACAGAACCCAAGGTGTGACCTCACCAGTGCCAGGTACAGGGGTGCCATCCCTTCCCTGGTCATTTAGGGGCAGGGAGCTGCCCAGGCACCCATGGCATAGAGGGGGCACCTTGCAGGGAACCTTGCTGCCTGTCTGAGCTGGGTGCTGCTCTGAATGGGGACATGCTGATGTGGGACACTCACCTGCAGGTCATTCCCTCACTTGGAGTTCTGTACTCATCACTCTCTTCCATCTCAGTGAATTTGTGTTTGGTGCAAGGCACCAGCACAGATGAACACATTTCCTTTCTGAGCCCACACTGCCTTACCTTTTGCTGCCCCTCATCCTGCCAGGCTCCTCTGCTGACAGCAGCAATTGGAATCACTTGTAAAAACAGTGGGTCCTGCCTTGCAGAGGAGTCCAGCACATATTCATTACCTCCCTGTGGGATCTTCAAGCTTTTACTTCCAGTGTTCACAAGAGACTCTTGAAGTTTTTCCCATGGGTGTTTAAAAAACACCATAGTTCCCCCTTTCATAATGTGTTTCTTTCATTTTGGGTTTCTGTATCCCATTGACAGGTTCTTAATGCTTTTGAAGGATGCCCACTAAGTATTCAGGAGCAAATTGCTCTAGATGCAAAGCACTGGATTTAATTAAATATCCTATATCAGGTGGTGATCCCCCAACTCTGTTGTGGCTTGGCCCCAAATTGCATTGATAAGCTCAAACAAAACCAAAAAAATCCTTTCCTTAAGACTAAGCATCATCCTTTCTCTGGTTTTTCTGAGTAATGTATTTCAAAGTTTGCCTTTCAATCTCTGGTACTCCATATGAGCAAATTTAGGAGCCTATTTTCTGAGTCCTTTAGGGATGTTTTTTTCTGCTGGAAAAGAGCAGTAAAATCACACAGCTTTGTTTTGTTTTATTTCTTTATATGGGGGAACATTCCTGTATCTCGTTTTACCACCTGCTGTCTTAGCAGTGTCGCTATTTTGTCTTTTTATTGAAAAGTCTTGTGATTTTTCTCGAAGTCGATTTACTGCACTTTAACTGCATTCAGTGAATAATGCCTTTTCCAGCAAATTCATCTGTACATAAAATTGGTAGAGATTTTTTATAAATTTTCACTCTGATTTCTTTAATTGCATCATAGCCTATTACACATGTTTGCAGAAAGTGCAATATTTACATGCCACATCTAAGTGATAAAATTATTTCCTATAATGAGTCCATTTCATTGACTTACAGATGTGTGCATGAAAAGCAGAAGGGCAGGAGGAGTAAGGGAGAGGGAGTCTTGGGGAGATTTTTAGCTTGTTATTAACTCTGACAGGCTCAGAATTCTTCCCCTATAGAACCATCCAGACTCTTCTCAGGCTAACCTTAATAAATCCAGTTATTTCAAGCTTTAATTCTCCTAGCCTCTTCCCTTTTCTTTCAGTCTGTTATGCACACTGCCCCATTTGTGAAATTCTCTCAAAATACCATTTCCAGAAATGGGTCCCATTCCCTCAGAGGGACATAACACGAGTAACCTATTGTGAACTGCTTTTGGCACCCACGACAACACAAGAATGTGGTGGTTTTTCCTCCTCGGTGTGTTTTATTCATTCAGCTGAGATCAAATGTGTCCTTTTTTGCTGTTGTCTGGTTAGATGTTCTACCTTTTGGTTGTGTGGGGTTCATTTCCCTCATTAATCCCCTCTTGGTGGGATGCCATGCTCTGCCCAGTTGCTGAAGGCATTAAGGCAAGCCCAGGTCTGAGACAAAGGGCTGAGCAACCTCCCTGGCCAGCAGTGAGATGGTGCAGAGGGTCCTGCCCAGTGGAAATCCTGGTGGGATGCCTTCTCCCGGCCTCCCTGGTGGATGTGACCACGCTTTCCTGGATCCTTCATCTCCCAGCCTGCCCCAGATGGGGCTGAACTGTTCCTGAGAGGAGTCTGCAGTGGATTTTCCTCACACCTTCCTAGAAAAGCTCTGCTATTCAGGGCTTTCTCTGGGCAGGAATAGGATGACCCCTTATCCCACCAACCTGACAGTTTCTGCTCTGCAGTTCTCCAGTTTTTATTGTGGTCCTCCCAAGCTGTGAAAATGAAAAACAATTAATATACAGTAATTATTCTAATATTTTGTCTTCTGTTCAGGGCATTGTGAGTTGCAGAACACGTAGGGATGTGACTGTGAGGCAATATCTGTACTTGGTCTTGAGTTATTTCATTCTGCTGTAGCACAGAGGTGGAGCATGGGCTGCATATCTTCAGAATAATATATCTTCAGAATAATACAGAAGGATATTTAAAATAAGATTAATTGTATTTTCATTCACCTGAAATGGAGCTACACCAAATCCAAAGTCACTTTCAGCATTAAGACACTTCTGATGTTCCCCAATGTTCATGATAAATAATTTAAATGTGGCTGTTTATAAAAGTAACGATCATGAACTCAGTGTTGTTAATGATCTATAGATAACAATGAGGACTCTTTCATGCAACCTAATAGGATTAATATAAACTTAGATATTCTTTGATCTATTTTGTCCTATTGCCAAAAGAAAGGTGAAGCCTCGGCAAGCAGAAATATTCTCCCTTGTGGCACAGGCGTTTCATTTTTGCCTTTATTTTTTGTGGTATAACCTGCAGTTTGACTCCACATTGCCCTTTAAAAATAACTTTTAGGTGTTCTTATATCAATCTAAGCCATGTGAATGGTGCTATGATTGATTTGCTGGAGGCTGACATTCATCTATAATACATTCACAAGAGGAAGGAGGAATGCAAGTGTTTTCAATCTTTACTCCTCAACTCTTTCCTGAAAACCTCCAATGTGATTTTGAGGATATTTCTGCCTTTGAATCTGTTATTGTCAGGAGGGCTGAGTTAGTCCTTCATAGATTATTCACATATGACATCTTTAGACCTCTATTTGAGAATTTATATCCCACTCCCAGCTTGGAAATAACACTCTGAGGGGTTTTATCTGCAGGACATGTCCACAGGCTGCTTTTTGTGTGTTGGATATTTGAAGGTCCATCTGCTTTATTAACATGCATTTGGTTCTGTCAATCTACCTATACTACTGTTATGGAGAAAATCAGATTTCCAGAGCATGTGTTAGTTCTGAGGATTTCAGAGCTTAGATAAATGCTCCCCTTAGGTGTGATTGCCTTGTCAATACCCTGCTCTGCATGATGGAGCTGTAGGACACTGCAGAAGGACATTCGAGAAGAGCCTGCAATTATTTTGGGGTGGGGTTCAGAAAATAGAAAACTTTTTTGTTGGAGCAATATGGATTTGGTCTCTCTTCCAGCAGTTCTCAGAGGTGTGTCAGTAAATAATCTGTGATATTCTTTTGTGTGCTGCCAGCACACAGGTACAGATGGGTCAGTTTATTAATTTACATCTTAAAGGAAATATGTAAATCTGAATAAGAGAAGAGAGTTTAAATATTTAAAATATATTAAGGACTGAGCAAAGGTGAAATAAATATTTTCATATCAACAACCAGCCAGGAGGAAAAATTAATTTCTATAGACCAAGCTCCGTGTTACACTTGAGTGTTATTATTTGATTATTGATCTTCCAAGCATGAAATAAAGGGAAATTTTGTTATACATGATGCTAAAAAATTGAAGAGAAGACAGATGTAGTGTAGTTTACAGAACACCTAGGAACAGTGGGTTTTTTCTGGTTTTATACTCAAGTTATTCTCCCAGGAAATAATCATTTTGGATGTATCTGTGTACTTAGTATTCCTACATGCAATAATGATTAAAATTTTCCTGGAAAGAAGGGCCATGCTATCGCTTCCATCTTATGTTACAGAACTGAAAATAGCTAAAACTTGTCCTTCTATCAGCAACAAAGTAAAAATGGAGAAAATTTGGAGCCATAGGCTCGAAATTTAATCGCCAGTTCTTTCTTTTCTGTGATTTTGGGCATCCCTTGCTCATCCTGAGCCTGCCTTT